AGAATGTCGTTTCTATTAACTTTTCGATAATTAAGGCTGCGTTTTTCAAGCCAAAGAAGGCTAAGATAGTTGAAGCGGCGACTCATATCTCTACCGAGTCCTTAAAAGAAAATGGGCTTCGTGGAGATGAAAACGAGCGATCATGGAAGATCATATCGTGGAACGTTGCTGGCTTGAGAGCATTAGCGAAGGTTTTTCTCTTTACAGATTTATATTCTCGTTATTTTTTGGACTTTAATGTGACAAATCAACTTTCATTTCTTTCTTGTGCAAGAATACTCCAAATTAACATAATTACTTATACCAGTTGGTTTCCTGTTCTCAAAGTAAAACTAATTGATAATTCAGAAAAACGCTCACAAATCTATATTATCCGAAGCACCCGATCTGATTTTTCTTGGCGAAATCAAGTGCAGTGAATGGCCCGTAGACCTTGAAAGCGATTTCAGGGTAACAGACAAAGTTCATAAGCTTTTGTAAATTTTGTAGAAATTCTTTGCTTCAGAAGTACCATAAAACATTGGCCGTGTCACAAGAGAAGAAAGGAGGTTATGCTGGTGTAGCTTTGCTGAGCAAAATCAAACCCATTAAAGTGAGTTGCGATCTTGAGCATGCATTTGAACAATTTTTTCTTTATTTGAATTAATCTTACTATTTGCTGTACTTTTTCATGTTTCTTTTAAACTGTCGCCTCGTCACCGCTGTTTAGAGAATGAACATAAGAATCAAAGTATCTAGCTTAGTGATGGTCATTGCTCAAGTAAAAAAGTTGCAAGTGATTGGGGACGCGCGGCCTCTAACGCTTTTAACATCTGCCTTAGTGTAGGATTGCCAAGCGTTTGCCTACGTCATTGCCATGTTCGCAAGCTGTAATTAAGAACAAATGCAAGGAATTGACATTTGTTCTTACTTACAAATCAGAACAAAACCTTTACCAAATCGTTTAAAAAATCGCTGAGATAAAACAGCAGGAATTGCCATCTTCAAATCCTAACAATTACCTAAGTCTGAGAATATAAACAGTGCAATTTTCAGGTATGGAAAGGCATAGGAAACCCAGAAATGGACAGGCATGGCCGGCTTATAGTCGCTGAGTATTCGCACTTTTACTTTATTGGTGCGTATGTGATTAACAGTGGTCAAGGGCTTGTAAATCTAGAACGACGAGGAAAATGGGAGGAACTTTTTTTGGAAAAGATAAAAGAACTCGACGAAAAGAAGCCCATCATTTACGCCGGAGATCTCAATGTGGCTCATAATGAAATTGGTAGTAAATTTTCACTTTTCAACAATTTTCATTTGCTATTGCCTGAGGATTTTATTTTTTCCCATTTCAGACCTTATGAATCCCCAGACAAAGAGAAATAGTGCTGGTTTCACTGATCAAGAGCGCGCATGGTTTTCGAGACTTCTAGATGCGGGATTTAAGGCAAGGTAGTCATTTGGACTCACGTAGTCTTCTCATCCAGATTTTAGGACACTTATCGTGAATTACATGGTGATAAGCAAGAATACACCTACTGGTCATATTTGGGTAATGCTCGTTCTAAGAATATTGGCTGGCGAATTGATTATTATGTGGTCAGCGACAGAATTTTCAAAAGAGTGAGTCCCTTCCCATAGATATCGTGACGCACATGGTTCAACAGCTAGTTTTGGGATTCTCTGTAGCTGTATCGTCATCGGGTTTA